CATTAAGTAGTGTTGAGCAAGAGTGTTAATTGTTAATTGCATGGCTCTTGACAATCTGCGACCATGATTACAAACTCATCTTGACCTCTACCATAGGCCAAACATAAAAATCCAACTTCTGACATATGAGCCTTGCTGTGTTGACAGATGAGAGGAGGATTAGTTGGTTAGCGGGCGAAGCATCTCAGCGCTATTACGCTGCTAATGGTCGACGGCCTCAGCTGACGCTCTACACTAAAGATGGCGCTGCGCTCGGATCCGACGACATCGTCACCGATCTGGTGACAAACAATGAGGAGATCGTAGCTAGTGTAGAAACATGGGAGATGCCTCCTCTAGCAGAAAGGCACGTCTGTTATGTCAGCATTGCTTGCGTGATCTGTGGTGTCTTTCTCAAGCACAGAATCTAGACCCCTAGGTGCCTTTCTAGAGCACAGATCCCTAGGCATGTATGCATGTGTCAGCATGTATTCCATCACTGTTGATGTCACGAATGTTGACATCATCATGTTGAAGCTTATGTTCATAGACGTCAGTCAACTTGTTGGTAGTTCAATATTGATGGCATTCTGATCTGAAAGCTCGAAAGCGACCCTTGAATTAGCATTAGCCTATCTATCATGTAATTGGTTCAAGCTGTATTTTGGCCCCGTATCACACTGGGTTCACGCCTGTATCATGACCTGTGTATGTTGTAATTTGTTTATGCACCATGCTTTATGTCCCGTGTATGTCGTGTAATGTTATCATGCACGGGCATGTTTCATCAGGGCCCCTTGTATTGCGAAATGTTTTGCATGTCATGTCATGCGTGATGTTACATCATGTAGTGACGCCACGTTGCATTGTTGCAGGTATGCGTCTGCGTGTGAGGCGGCAAGGACCCCGCGGTACAACAACATCACGACTGCGTCACGCATGGCTGACTCCACGCACTGCCTGCGCCTGAGAGACCTCGCCATGCGCCTCCATCAGGCGCGCCCCCTGCTGCGCTCGCTACCGGGGCAGTACGCCCTCACCATCCTCGATCTGTCCGGTAACCGCCTCGGCGATGAGGGATGCAAGGAACTCGGTCTTGCCCTCCCCTCCCTCGACGCCCTCGCCACGCTCAACCTCCTCGGCAACGAGGTCACGCAGCGGGGTCTGCGCGAGCTGGTCGACGGCGGCAGCGCGGGGGCGCCACGTCTGCCCGCGCTGTGCAACCTCGAGCTCGGCTTC